AGCTCCTTGCTGCTCCCAAGCACACAGTCTGAGAAATGTATTTCTAGATTAGGGCCTTGCTTGTGTTAAACTTCTCCTGTAACTCCTTTTCAAAGGACTAGAGTAATATAAAACTAATCTTCAAACAAAAACCAGCCCTTTCCTAGCCTGGCCCTGGCTGTACCACCTTCTCCTCAGCTTACTGTTGGATATGTTTGGCAAGCAGAAACTGGAATTTTGCTTTCTCTGCTTACAGAAGACAGTAAGAGGCATAGCATCAAATTTTGCCAGAAGTGTTGCACGACTTATCTTTTTGAAATAAGAAATCATTCAGAATTCATGTGTTTTGAAATAGCTTTTCTGTCTCATGTTTAGAGTAGTTAAGTAAGTGCTAAATAGCCAGAAAAGCTTTACACTTTTTCTTGGCTTTTCTGGCAAGAATGATCATATCTGCTTTTCTCACTGCCAGCCCTTCTTGATCAATAAGTAGCTGAAAACTGTAGCGGTTTTATGAATCAGCTGCATGCTGCTTTCTGTGCTTTGCTGATTTACAGTGAGGGAAAAATAGGCTTAGTTACTGATGGGCTAATAGGTGCTGATTTATAGGCATTAGACATTATATTAAATATTCCTAAAAATAGATTTATAGACATACTGTCAAAAATATTTTTTAATAATTTTAAATTATATTTATTTTATTTTGGGGTTTATATTAATATAGTTGTGTTTATTGTATGTCCTGAATGCTTATTTTGAAAGTAGTTTTCATACAGTATAGAATGGTCTGTGATCAATTTAATATAAATGTTTTATAATAAAACACTTCTTTAATATATGCTGATCACTGTATCTTCTTTAGTAAGGTCTTGATGATTTTTAAAAATTTCTAATTATTTCTGTTATACTTCACTCAGCTATATCAGTCAACTATTAAGGAAGTAAACTTTGAGAACACAGTGGGGCAGAGAGCCTAAAATGTGTAAAAGATTTATTTATTCCTTATAGTCAGGAGGGCTAGGTACCTTGCCAAAGGTCATAGGAAGCATTTGTGACCAAGGGAGTATAACACTCTTTGCTTTGTGTCCAGTTCTTGCACTTGAATTATTGTCACATTTTATGTGTGGTTTCTGGTATTTTCTATGTACTCCAGATATTTGTTATGGAAATCAAGTCCTTCAGTTCCACATCTAGATGTTGGGCTTCTGGGGTAAGATAACAATCCAAAAAGTGGTTCCTTGTTGAAGTGTTGGTGTTTATATTTAAATACCACATTGTCTTTAAAACTGTTCTATTTTTCAGTTGTACTGCTTTTTTTCTCTGTGTATATTTTCATCAATTTTGCTGTAAACATGAGGTAGCTAACACTCTTGACTAATTAAAATTTGGTTTACTATTTACAGTTAAACTCTATTTGAGTGTATTAGTTCTTGATCTTTTGATTTAGCTCAGTCTGGTTGATTCAGACATAATTTTTTTGTTAAATAAGAGATTTGACTACCATAAATAGGAAAAAGTAGGATAGTCTCATTGCTTGAAATTAGTGAGATGATAAATAGGGGCATAAAACTTCCTAGAAATTCATCTATCCAGGCAGATTTTTCTTTTTTTTCATGCTGTATTTGGAAAAAAAAAAAGTGGACATGTGCAGAAACTGTGAGTACAATTAGCGTCAAGCAGATAAATCCAACTCTAATCCTGTTTACGCTCCACATCAGACAGATGTGCTGAGATTGATTCAGACAAGCCCTTGGCTTATAGTAACTTTTTTTTAAGTGCCATATATTCTGGTTTTGTTGGATCTTTGTTAAATGTTAAGTGCTGTTAGTTTTGCTCTTCCCTAACGCCTGTAACCTACTTTATGCAGGTTCCCTCTCTGCTTTCATGATGACAGGGCAGCCTGGTAGAAGAGATTATCTTTATTCCTTGTAATTAAATTGACTTTTTTTTTTTCAGAAGATACAACAATGGGAAGTGGGTACTGAATTAAATAAATAGCATGATATCTAATAGATGTACACTTAAATCTCTTGCAAGAACAGATGGTACCCAATATCTTTCTGAGTAATGTGAGAGGACAGTTAATGTCCTGAAACTGCTTGCAATAACCAATATGATACTAACGAGCCAATACGGTTTTCAAAGTTTAAAAAGTGTTTACTACAATATATACTTTATTGCACAAGTAAGCTTGGTTGTTACCTCATTCTAGAAATATTTTATAAACACAGCTTATGACCTAAATTTTCTTTATCTTAATAAGTTGTTTTATAAAATTTTACTACATTTGAGATGGTCTTATTTTCAGTAAGCAGAGAAAATGAAAATTATAGAATATGCCTGGGATTTTATGCAGATTGCTTTACAACTTTAGGAAAAAAATGGCTGTCCTAATCCTACTAGCTAATTCATTGTTTCCTCTAGAAATTAAAACTCAAGGATGATGATTTTTTACAATTCAGCATTCCTAGAGTTTATATTCTTTTCCAGGATGCATCTGGAAATGTATTCCTGTAAAACCAGCAAAGTCAGATAATGGTTTTGAAAGTCCAGTTCTACCTATTAAGAATATTTGGTAAATACAAGTAAGTAACTGGCTAAAATAACCATGAAAAGAAAATGCAGGCCTTACCTGACTTAAGACTAAATATCATTTTATGAAAGCAAGTGGAAAATAAAAAGTATTTTGCAAGGCCTTCATTTTCCTTGACTTTTGCAGAATAAATAGGCTAATGTTTGTAACTCATATGTGGTGCACATCCATAACATTGGTATAATAGAGTTCATGATCTCCTCAGCAAAACTAAGAGTTAAATCCAAAATATGATTTATTTTACAGAATTTAAAAAGCAAACCCACTTAGAATATTTGTATTAGTCTGGGGAAATGAATGTTGCAGCTCAGTTATTGCTACAGAATGGTTGTGGTTATATTTCCTTTTTCCTAAAACATTGAGGTTGTGTGTTGGCATTTTCAATGTACTGTATGTCTGACCGTGAAACATTGTGAAAAAACCTAAGTAGACCCCTCAAAAATTCTGTTTTAAAAGTTAAAACAAGTCTTTAATGTAGATATTAAACTATTTAGTTCTAGGTAATTTGGGACATCACCAGTCAGTTTTTCATTTCAGGCCTACAAAGACTATTTACCCTTAAATGTTTTAAAAGAGCAGTACAAATTTTGACAGAAATTAAGATCTTGGGTTTGGTAATGTTAGTACCAAGTTTGTTTGTACAATGTCCACTTTGAGTTTGTGTAAAATCATAATTCAAATGGAATCATACAGTATTTCTTCCCCTTCAGTTCCCTCGTTTTTAAAGGATACATTGACTGAAAATATTTTTACAGCAGTTGTTCCAGTACTTCAGGATTTATGTTGGGGTCTTTTAAAAAAGTATTTAGGTGAGTTTTCTCCTCTTTATTTGCTGTATACTTCTGAAAATATGCACTACAATTTCCTGTGTACTGTCTCAATGCACAGTACTCTCAATTACTTGTCCCAGTGTTCCTGCTAAGAGTGGAATAATTTCAGTCCAGTTTTACACCTTAGTAGCTGATTTATGGAAATATTAGGATGATAAAGTATAACAAGTTGGTGAAAAATATGTGGGAAGTATAACAAGGTCATGCTTCTATTTGTCACAGGTTATTTGGTACAGAGCAGGAGAAAATGAATTGGTTGAGAATTGTGAGGAGAAGTCATACTGACTTGAGCTTTAGTTGTGTTAGCATGGCTGAGGAGAAACATCCAGGATTTCTGGGCAGAGAAATGATCACTGCATAGCCTCCTTCCAGAAATGATGTTGAGAAATGACAGTGTCAAACTGTTATGAGAATTGAAAAAGTCATCTTTTTTCTGCCCAGAAAAAGTATATGACTTTCTGAAACCCCCAGCTTCAAGTGGTGTAATGAAGTAGGGGGTGCTGTCCATCTTTCCCTGGGTGACAATTAAAATAGGTTTTCCCAAGAGTCCAGTGCAGCATGTATCAACTATTAATCAAACAGAATCTGCTGCAGTTTTTGCTATTGAGAAACCAGAGTTGTTGCTAGATTTGGGGAAGTTTTCTGCTTTCTAGCATTTCTTGCCTTGGGCTGCAAAGGGACCTTTATTGATCCGCTGTATGAGATCTGCTGTAATTACGAAGAAAGCAGGGAAAATTTTCTTTCTGTGTATTTATTCCCAAATAATCTGATACCTACAGGAAGGGTGATATTTTTCCTTCAGTTTGTGTATTTGACTTTGGTTTTGAGGAATCTGAATGCAGCTCAAGAGAGCAGAAAAGGGAGTAGCCTGTACCACAGTGCCTCAGTTGATACATCTCCAAAAGGCACTTGGAAATGAAGTGGTAGCATCTGCAGCCACAGCATCCATGCAAATAACAGCCCCAAGATAACAAAACCTTCCCTTGGCTAACACAAATCTCCCCTGGGATGAGGATCTCGAACTCTGACAAGAACTTTTTGGAAACTGTTTTTCTTGTCTTCTAAACTGAATTCATAAATCAAAAATGAAAGCAAAGATGGGTAACAGAGTTTTGGCTTATTTGTCTGTTTTTCCTTGACTGTTTTCTGACATGTTTCTGCTGTAAACACAAAAGGTAATGGTTGTAGTAAATGAAAAAAATATAGTGAGGATATAGTCAGCTTGGGTCATAGCACACTATGATTTACAAGTATGACTGCTATGATTGCTGTGATTTAGGTGAATAGAATAAAGAATTTGCTTTTCAAATGCGAATTCAAAAAATGTCTTTCCTAGAGTGTGAAATTTTATTAATTTTTTTGAACACCAGAAAGCTGAGTAAATAACCTCTTTGAAATTGTTTTGTTTGTACAGCTGGATACATAACGAAGTTGGTAAAACAAAAGACCAATGACTGAAGGAAAGGATATGCCATAAGTTTCAATGCAAGCATGAACAGATGCAAGAAGTGAATGTAGAGATGAAGACCTAACAATACTTTTAGTTGTTACTCCCAATCACTGTAGTAATGCTTTTTTTTTTTTTTTTTCTTCCCTTACAGGTGATTCCAGTGTGGCTTTACAGGCTCAAGAAGAGATTATTGAAATGAAGGATGTATTTTCAGTAAAACTGAAACGTCGTCGTTTCGCAGGGCAGCAAAAAGGTGGCACTTTGTTGGGTATCACAATTTTTAAATGCTTGAATAAAGAAGAGAACAAACTTACAGACTGTGCTATCCATTTAAATAACTTAAGTGAAGATCATTGTCAGTTGTGGTTTAGACATCTGAAGGAAATTTTAAATGGTAAGCATTAAATAGAGGTTGCTGTCATATTTATTTCTATTGGGAATACATGAGGCTGACAAGCTCAGAAACATCTTGCCTGTGGAAATTAAAACACAGATATGAATCTTATTTCTGGAAAATGTTTACTACTGAAGTTTTACATAGTCAAGTGTAAAATCTAGGAAAATTACAGATACATTAGTCAATTATTGTCAAAATGAAACAAGTTGATGTTATTTTTGGAAGTTTTGGAAGCCACTGAAAATAAGTGGTTTTCTTTATTCTGACTGAAGAGTCTTCTGGGAAATCTGCTTCTGGAGGAAATAACATATTTAGTTGATATTTTCACTTGAAATTGCATCACACCTGATACTGCAGTAGTTGCACTTTTGGGAATTCTTCAGGAACTTTCTGGTGATGGTTTAGGAAATCCCACTTGAGACCTCCATATTCTTTAGGAGCTGAATGGGAGAGACTTTCCTCATCTTCATAAATTCACAGGTGGCAGTGCTCTGTAGGACTCTTGTTGCTTAATTTGATACAAAATTTATTTGCAATAGTGATGGGATGCAATCCTTTACTGTAAAAATATCTTTCTGTGTTTGCCTAGGGTAATGCCAATTTCAGGATGCTTTGTTTAACCAGTTTTAGGGTTGGTGGGTTGGGGTTTTTTAATTTTATTTTATGGAAGCTCTATCAAAATTATGAAAAAAATATTCACCATATAGGGAAAAGAGCCTCACAAGAAATCCAAGCCTTTCACTGAAGTTTATATTTGAAAGGCACAGAACGTAGCACACGTTTGATATAAATAACCAAAACTACATCCCTTCCCCAATACCAAACTCTGATTTAGCTCCAAAAGGTGCCTCTATTTACAGATTGTAGCAAATGAGTTTGCTTATTTCAGAAGAAAAGCAGTCTATCTTGTGGCACACTATTAGAACTCCAGCTGAATTGTTAAGACAGAGCCAGATTACAGAATCCAAATCTTGTACATCTGTAGTGTTTATGACAACACTTTGAATAAGAATTTATGGTGTGCTTCTACTAAAGTTTCACAAGCAGATACTAAAGAAACAACATGAGTTATTAATGGTGCATTCTTGCGTTGTTTGTTTACAATATGCTTTGGATTTTCCCAGTGAAGATGGGTATTAAAAAGTGCCTTCCCTTTTCCCCTTTTGAAAGACTTTATCATGAAATATCTCAATCTGCACAAGTGCCAGGATTCCTGTAGATCTCCAGCTACCCATAAAGGCAAGGGCATTTGCATAAGGAGCAAATGTCTGTTTTGTTCCTAGATTACTCTCCATCTATCAGGAGCAGTGATACCATATGTTCACAGAAAAAAAGCTGCAGTATCTCTAGCTCAGGTTGCCTTGACCTCGAGGTGCAGTCTGTGCTTTATAGCTTTGTAACTGGAAGCCACCTGAACCTGAAAAGTGTTCTGTGCAATGCTGTTTCAAGTTCTTGCTTCAGTCTTTCTCTAGAAGCTCAGACCTTGTACAGATGTTTTTTGGATCTCTGATCAGTAAATTTTTTTCTCCTTGTTTTCTACTTCAGGTATAAACAGGACTCAGAGAGATAAAAATAACCAAATGAAACTCTCATCATACCAGTTGCTGATGTGTAGATTCTCCTAAGTCTGAACTAAAAGTATACAATGCAGCTGAGTTCTGTTAATTTCTCAGTGGCTGATATTTCTGTGGGAAACTATAGTGGGTTTTCATAGTTTTTGCTGCAGCCTTTTTATTTTTCTTTTTTCTTTTTTTTTGTAATAGTGCTAGAGTCATTCTTGTTCATGAACTCAAATTGGCTGCTTCTGGTTTTATCCTTCTGAAGTAGTAAATATTACTTCCCTGCCCTCCCTCCTCCCTCAGTCTGTCTGATCACAAAGTAGTTTTTCATTAACAGCTGCATTATTTACATGAAGGATTCTTTTATTGTTTCTGGGCTAGATCAAATTAAAAGGAGGTGATTTATCAAAGTAGAACATATATGTATATAGATTTGGTCAATAATATTTAGACATTCTGACAAATGGGAGTACATATTACTGACAGGTGTGTTTCCTCTGCAAATAAATTCAATTTCTACTTGTTTACCTTACTCTTTGACAAGTTTTTAGGTTTTTATGCATATACATTAATTAGGGAACAACAATAGCAAGTTTGTTGGTGATAGTATGAGACAAAGTTTATCTGGAGGTTTCTAATGAAGATTTAATTTTTTTTGAAGTTTCATGTACACAGTTTCCTTTTTACAGTGTGATCTGTGTCTGGCATGACACATGTCATGTCATAAATGGTTTTTCCCTGTTCATTCTTATTATCTTCACAGTGAGTGCCCTCTGTTGCTTTGACTTTGTGTTCAGAATACTTCAATTTAAAGTTTAACTGAGCTGTAATTTTTTATGAAGCCTGTTATCATGTAAGTGAGCACACACAGATATAAGTGTTTAGAATTTAGTTACAGTGACTGCCATTATGGTTCTTTCTGTGTGTGTGTGACAGGGTAGCAAAATAAATGTACCACCATCTTCCCATATTTGAGGAAGTTCTTATTTTCTGCCTGCTGTTGCTGCTGTGGCAGTGCATGCCAGCTAGATATAAAGAGCTTGCTCACTGGTAGAGTGTTCCTGAAATCTGATCTGTACATCACATGTACAGTGTTAAACTGCTGTAAGATAACCACTGCCATCTTTATGCACCTCTGGATCCTTGGCTCTGGGCTGGCTCCTGTAAGGCCCCAAAGGGCAGTTTAGACAGGGTCTAGTGTGCTGTTATCTTTTGTCAGCCCTGCTGCACACCCCACTCCCAGTGATTTCCTTTTATACATCACATTTTTGTACAGGATTTAAAGGCATGGCATGTGGGGACACACTTGTGTCACTTGTGTCAGTAGAATTCACTGTTTCATCTAAAATCCTCTGCACATGCAAATACATAGTGGTTCTGAAAAGGTTGAGGTAGGCTCAAAAATGTGAGAAAACGTACAGTTGTCAATGCTCATCAATTGTTTTTTAACAAGATAAGACTTACTAACAGCTGATTTGAAAAAGCTTTACTTAAAAACTCTGTAAACGAACAAGACAGTAAATGTGGTTAAGAATAAATGATAAAGTAGCAAAAAAAGCACAAAGTGCATTTTATTTTTATCTGCTGTTCTGTAGTATCTATCACACGGGGATTTGATATGAAAGCCTGAAACTTCATGCATGAAGTTTTAATTAAACCATTAATGTTAAACATTAACTTAGCTTAGTTAATATTAACAGTGGTGTCTCCATAGTTACATCAATGACTCTGCCTCATATTGTTAGTTTTTCTCATGTATAATATTCCTAATGTTGTATAAAGTATTTATAAATGTAGGTGGTAATGACATGATTCCAGGCTCTTAACTTTTGTAACATAAACCCATTTTGCTGAGGCTGGGGCCTGAAAGCAGCACAGATGTATGTCTGAGCACAGCGTCTCTGCTGCCCCAGGAGCCTTTGTTTTCAGAACACCCTGATTGACCCACCACCCTTCATGGTTCACTGATTCACTTGATAGATCAAGTTTAAACTAGTGCATATTAGCACATTTGTTAGTACTAGGGGAACAGTTGGCCTTCCTGCTTTAGGCTGCTGGCTCGTTTCAAATGGAGCAGCCAGGGAAAACAATAACAGAATACCAGTTAGGGGAGCCCCAAAAGGCTGGCAGACTGGGATCAGTTGCACACAGTAGTCAATGACATTGATTCATTCATATAGATGTTGTTTAAAGACAATTAAAAGATTATTATTCAAAAACACTTTAAAGAAGCTTCACAATTATATTGTGTGAAAGTTTAATCTTTGGCTGTTACAGGATATGCTTTCATTAAACTCAGTTGTTTGGTGCGTTCTAACGTGTCCAGTGCACACCAGGAATAATAAAGTGATAAATTTTGTCATGATCATCCTTTCATGTCAGTTGGCAATTATTTGGCACAAATAAAATCACTTCAGTAGGGCACCATCTCTGCTCAAATGTTTGTGAAAAATATTTCTGTCAATGAAATATTTTATCTCTCTAAAAAAGTAAATTGGTATTCAAATAGTCATAAAGAGAGTATTTTAATACTTTGATCCTGTGAATTGAAAGTCTTGCTGGGATTTATGTATTAACTCTGATATGCTTTGCAGCAATAGCCCAATATACATAATCATAAATAAAGTTTCTAGTTTAGAATGGTTTAATGAATTAATGTTTCTTAAAAAATTAAATTCAACCATTTCCTCAAAAATCTAGGATTTTTTTTCTCCAACAGAAAAGTCTATTTTCTTTTGCCTCCATAGGATTTCTTTTGAAACTTTATATTGCCACCTAGGGTTAAATTTTTACATCTCACATGCAAAAACATTGAAGTGAGATAGTGATATTTGCTTTTCTCCCTTCAGTTTTCTCCTGATGTCTGTTTTGCAGAACTGTAACTCGCACTGTCTGGGTAACAGAAGTTTTGACACTTCATCTGCTTTCTCTACTTTTACAAACTGTACTTTTCTATTCTTTCCCTCTGCTTTGTCCATTGTACTCTTATATTTGTATGTTTGGGGTGTAGTTTTGGTTTGTTTTTTGTAACTTTAAAGGTATACTCAGATATCCATGGCTGAAGTCAGTTTTTACAATTTTTAGCTCTAGGTGTTGATGGGGGGGGTTGAATGTTAGGAGGACCAGGTGATCACAGTTTCTTGTAAATAAGGTAAGAAACATGACAGCACATTTATGAATTTGGTTAAATCTTTCCTCTTTTGAAGCAGGAGTCCTTATTCTTAGAAGTTTTCAATTTAATTTTTAATTGGAAAACTTATAATTTGCCGGATGCTTTAGGCAAATGATAAAGTCACAGAAATTATTTTTTTGGTCTTAATATTTTTATAACTTCTACAGGACTGCAACAATACCAGTTACTAGATTTCAATTAAGACATAATGTCTTTATGATAAATATTTATATGTATTAATAGTCTTTGGGAGCTTTTGTTTAGACTTCCTTGTTTGTGTTGTAATTCCTGTAATTACAACACAACACAAATGTAATTACATTCCACTGCAGTACATACCTGCAGTGCTTCTTTCTGTTTCCAGAGAATCAACATGATTTTAGGTTGGAATGAACCTCTGGAGATGATCTCTTCTGGCTTCCTGCTCAGGACAGGTGAACTTCTAATAAAGATCAGGTTGCTAAGAGCCATGTCCAGGGCAGTTTTGAAAATCGCTAAGGATGGACAGTGTCATCCATGGCTAACTGCCCTCATTGTGAATGAAGGGTGTTTTTCTGGAATATTCCTTGTGCCACTTTGTCCCTGCACCTGCCGGAAGCCTGGCTTGGAGGCCTGTGGCTCACACAGGAGATGCTCAAGGAAAGATTTTGGTAGATTTTGTCCTTGGGGCTGGCCAGGCCGGCTGCCGCTGCCTCCTGCCCGCGGCCTGCTCCGGCCCCTTGCTGTAGGGGCAGCTCCATGTCGGACCTGCTGCCTTCATCTCCCTTGTGCTGGGAGCCTGCAAGTGGGGGCAGCTCGTCAGCTTCAGGCTCAGGAGATGCTGAGAACAAGGCTGTAGTGACATCCTTCGGACTGCTGGCTGTCCTCTTGTTCCTGCAGCCCAGCGAGCCCTGCCCTTCCTGGCTGCCCTGGCACCGTTCCCTCATGTCGGCCCCGGTCCCTCGGGAGCTGCCCGTGCTCTCTGAGGTGCTCCCTCCTGGAGCTGCCAGTGCTCTCTGAGGTGCTCCCTGCCGGAGCTGCCAGTGCTCTCTGAGGTGCTGGAGCTGCCCGTGCTCTCTGAGGTGCTGGAGCTGCCCGTGCTCTCTGAGGTGTTGGAGCTGCCAGTGCTCTCTGAGGTGCTGGAGCTGCCCGTGCTCTCTGAGGTGCTGGAGCTGCCCGTGCTCTCTGAGGTGCTCCCTGCCGGAGCTGCCCGTGCTCTCTGAGGTGCTCCCTGCTGGAGCTGCCCGTGCTCTCTGAGGTGCTCCCTGCTGGAGCTGCCCGTGCTCTCTGAGGTGCTGGAGCTGCCCGTGCTCTCTGAGGTTCTCCCTGCTGGTCCCGGCCCCATCCCACGCTCGGAGGGTTTGGCTGGCTCAGGTGCTGGGCTTGGGCTTTGGCTTTGTCTTATTGAACATCGTCAGGCTTTTCTCAGACCTTTCTTGTAGCTGATCAGGGTCCTCATGAACAGCAACCCTTCCCTACTACACAGCTGCAGTCCTCACCAAGTTCCCTATTTTCTTTTTCCTCCTTTTTGAAAGAGATGCTTTTGAACACAAGTTCTTGTTGCTGCAGGCATTCAGGATTCTCCAGGATTAATTTGCTGTGCAAGGTCTTGGCACTCTGTAAAACATTTTCACATAAACATGGTTATACATTTTTTTGTGTATGATTTTGAGATTATAGCAGCAAACTGATACAGTAATTTCCTTCAGTATATTTAAGAGCTCTACTAAATTTTCTGATGCAAACTGGATAAACAGCTAGTTTTCCTTTCAAGATTCTTTGATGTGTTTAAATAAATGAAAAAATTATCTCTATGACTTCTATAATTATGTTTTGATCTTAAAGAATACTTTCCTCTTTAATGTTGAAATAGTGTTTAGCTATAATTTCTTTAATAACTGTTTCTGTTCAATTGTTGAGGTAGAGTAAGTGGGACAAGCTGCAGGAAGTCCCTGCTGACACTCTGAAGGTACATGAGGCTGCAGAAATTGAAGGAATATTCTTCATGGGGCAGGAAAATGTGCTTTCATTCTTGGCTCCCTATGTAGCTCCTTTGGCTAGTACTAATTTTGTTCTTGAATGTTGAAAGCAGTACACTTGCCAAATATTCTAGCTTTTGGCTAAGAAAGTGATAGTCTACCCTGATACCAAAACCAAATTCAGAATTGTTCAAATCAAGTCTTTGAAATAAACACCAAAAGAAGAGCAGTATTGCACACTACTGCTTGCTTCTTGTAGCAAAGCAGCATCACTGAACCATGGCAATTGTAGGAATTCTAGAATAGGGAATTTAAAAAGGAATATTATTGGTTTAGCCTGAGTTATTTACTCTTCAACAAAATGCCATGTTTCAAATAATAAAATTACTTCATGTGATCAGTGTGCAAGACAAGGTTCAGCTTTGCATAACAGCATTTCCTTGGAGTTTGTCACTCCAAAGGCCTAAATGAGCAATAATTCTCAGATTTCCAAATGATACTGCCAATTTTCTATTTCTTTATATTTTTGGACCTCCTTTACAATGAAGAAATTTCCTTTGGACTGTTTGGTTTGCACTGTCAGAAAAGAAAAGTGTTGGATTGTTGTGTAAGTTTTGTTGGGTGTTACTTTCGTAAACCTGCTGGGAGTGAATCATTAAATTCCAACAAGGATGCATTTTTATGTTTGGGCTTGTTTTCTTTTTTGGTGACCAAACTTCACACTCACCCTGCTCCTGAATCAGGGTTTAACTAGGCTGTGACATATGCACTTTTTTTCTGGTTCCTACAGCTGTTTATTAGCTGTACACACAAAATTAATGAATACTGTAATTTAAAGATAAGAAGTACACATGCAAGATAAAATTTTGGCTTTTTTTAGAGACTTTTTTAGACTGTAATTTACTTTTCCTGTCAAAATATTGTAATGGTTCTGATTTTAAAATCCCATTTAAGCTGTAAAAATAGTTGGGTTGTGTGTAATCTTGAATGTTTTGTTTTCTTTTTAGGTTTTCAAAATAGACCAAAATCCTTGAAAGTGTTTGTTAATCCAAGCAGCCACAAAAGAGAAGCCACTAACATTTATTATGAAAAAGTTGCACCTCTTTTTAAACTTGCTGACATAAAAACTGATGTCACAGGTAAGTTGCTACAGAAGTATAACTTAATCCTTTGTAAAACTAATAGTTAAGCATGTGAGACAATTTGAATTTACTGCTTATCCTTATTGCCTTTGACTGCAAGTACTGCATTTGGAGCTCTAGTTAATACAACACCATATATTTTTATTTTGTCCAAAAGTGCATTAGTAATTCTCTTATTGATTCAGTACTTTTCATCTATAGCAATCAATACTAGTAATCTAGTCTTTTTTTCCTGTGTCTGTTCTAACTGACTTGAAAAATTATAGGAGATCTCATCTTGCAGTTGTTCCTTAAATTTATTATGAAATGATGACTAGTTCAGGTTACAGGCCAAAAATTATTTTGATAAAATCTCACTTAGCCATGAGAATATACTAGTGCAATAATGGTAGATGAAAATGATCATGCTAATTTTATTCCCTGTATCCATGTATTTTTTAAATACTTAGCCCACAATTTAAAGTAAAAGCAATTGAAGATTAAAGACACATTAGAAGAAATGTGGAAAAGATGGTCTGTATTAGAATTCTGTAGCAATAATTTCTTAACTATCCTGAACTGAGAGGGAATGCCAGCAGCTTTATATAAATTTTAATTTTCACAGACATATTTATCTACCTGGAAGGCATGGATCATAGTGTGAACAGACTAATAATGCTGTCATATTAGAAATTGACTTAGCCTTGTTTGGTCACAATTTTAGAAAAATGTTTTAATACAAGTTGTGAATATAATTTGTGAAGGTTTCAAAAAAATTTTTTCTAGTGGAATAAAAACAGTTTTAAGTCTATTTTTTAATTATTTGTCTTTGAATTTTTAATAGAAAGCTTCTGAGTCAAGCCAGAAAAATGTTTAATGGCCTGTCCTTCAATTGAGGTTATTTTGGCAATGCTGAAATACTCCTGTGCTTATTAGCTGCCTAACACTCCTCCTACAGGCAAAATGAGAGAACTACATTGCAGTTTTCAATGCTGGTAGAGAACTAAATAATTAAGAATTATGCTTTTTTTTAAAAAAAGAGGGTGGTGGTGGGTGCTGAGTAAAAGTCCTGTCCACTGGTACCCTATTCTAATAAACGCAAACACTTTGTTTCAAGTAAATTGAACTGGGTTTTTTCCTCCCATAATTGTTTTGGATTTTGTGAGGTTGGAGTGTGCCTCTTGCTGTTCCTGCTGTTTTGGAGCATGGCCAATATTTACATAACTGGTGGTGTACAAAGGTGTATTAGGCACTGAAATTGTGAAGGCTTTTGTACAATTTTTGCACTGAAGACAGTTTACATTGAGACTTTTCCACATACACATATTTAAAATTCATTGAATGAGAAGTTAAAATTTGTTGAGCGCTAAAAATTTATAGCAAATTTGAACCTCTGAAGTGGCTTCTAGTGCATAAAAAATAAAAAAATTTCAGGTTACTAAAATCACTTCAGAACATCAAAGATTGACAGTGGAGTGCTGAAAGACAGAGCTCTCCTCAGCCAGTCTTGTACATTGGTAGCTGTTGCTTTCTCTCTGATCAGGCTTTCCTGATCTTATTCTTCATTATAGCTTTTCTTGGAATAAAATTCTTATGTGTTTAGAAATTTAGAATGGAAATATTTTCTCCTACCCAAAGACATATGGCAATCTAAAGACATGTATGTAAATAAGTGAGTGCTGAAGTAACACTTACTTTTTCTAATTATTTTAAAATTTTGTAGAGTTTACTTTTTTTCCCCCCAGATGGCTTTGTGTGTAATAATTTAATAATTTCATTAAAAATAACCAAAGGTATTCTGGAGTGGATTGTGTTTTGCTGGGTTTTTGGGTTTTTTTTGTCACATGCAGTAAGCAAATCTCTGAAGTGCTTAGAGCTCTAGAAAGTGTGAATTAGCATATTTAAACTGAAGCAATACTTTGAATTGTGGCTAAGGTGAAACAATAGTTAAAATCTGGCCTCTTTTAAGACTTCGGCAATTTTTTTGTGCTGCAGCTGGGATGTGGCTGCTAGGATAAGAACAGTGACTCTTCCAAAAATTGAGTTCTACAAAAGCTCACTCCACTGTTGAGATACCTGCAAGTACTGGCAAACTGTGATAATTGGAACTATTATTTTAGAAATACATTAGTGTCTTGCAAAATCTTACACATAGTTAAAGAAAAATAAATAAAAGAAACTCTGTCAGAATCCTAGCTTGTCTCACTTCTCTTCCTAGTTTTGACTCTTGCTTCCATCTGTGCACTCCTACAGCCTGGACCTTTAGGCAAAAATAACAGCCTTCCCTAACTCCTATTTTTAGGGCAGAACCACAAAAGAAAGGAATGTTTGAGAATTGGACAAAGAGCACTGGTTTATGGTAAATAGCACTGGCATATGGTAAATACCAACAGATAACTGGTGTTGGTGCTGGATGAGAAAAAGCTGTTATCAGTAACAGTTAATCCCATTGATTTTAGACTGTGGCAGGAGTGCCAGTATGTTTAGGTGCCATGTGAAAGCATCCCCTGTTTTGAAGTGTTGAACTAATTTTATATTGCTTTTTCCGTGTGTAGTGGCCAAGCCCTTGGTTCTTGTTTGCCATGTAAAGAGGATGTTAAATTGTTTTTGGAGTATGTGTGACTCTGTTCAAATGAGGCGTACCTTTGGTGTCCTTTCTTCAGAATGCCATTATCCAACACTTAAGGACAAAAGAAAGAGGAAATCTTTTGAGATTATGCATTAGAAATGGTCAAAAAAAATAAAATAATATTTTTGTGATAATGATTTTGACAAATATGAGATTTGGATCCTTCTCAAACAATGAAAGAAGCTTTCTTCCTATTACCAAAATACATTGAGAAGATTTTTTTGTTAGTTTGTTTTCCTCCTGAATTGGAACAGTGCCAAATATTCAAACACTTAGCTTTTTTTCCAGCTATCAGAATGATTTATACATGCCCTTCTGGAGGTTGTCAAGCCCTGCAGAAAACTTTCTAGACATGGTCTTTTTATGTCTGTGTTGGATTTTTCTAGGTTCTTTTTCTACTTGAATTATTCTCTATATATGTATATATGTTCTCACAAAGTTTTTCCTGAAAACCTCATTTTTTCACTGCCTTTTTGTCATGATGTGTCAAAATAGATCCTCTGTCATTCTCTCATGAAATTTTAAATTTCTTGTAATTCCCCAATCTTAAGCCTTGAGCAGTACTTCTACATAATTTCCAAACTTAAGCTACTAGATGCAAAGAGGATGGATTTGCTCTCAATCTGGCTAACAGTAGTCATTTTTACTGCCTTTATTGACTTCTCTGTAGACATGAGCCCTCTTTATTTTCATGTCCTTGTTCTTTGAGTGAATTAATTCTGTAACAGTAAGCATAACTTACATTACATTAGGAAAGCACTGAGCATGTTTTCTGTTACAAAATAAATCTTATTTACTGTTCCATTTTAATTAGACTGTACTCATAACTTTCTAAATGTCATCGTGTTCATTTAAAAAGGCATGTAACCTGGTAACCAACTCTATTTTCATGGGAAGAGTTTCTTTCACAGCTAAGCAATGGTAAGATATCTGAACCTTTCTGCATTTTTGCATGATGCACACTTTTATTGGTCACTTTTCACACAGCCTACAGATACTGTTAAAAGCATTGTTCCCGTTGGCAATGCCAGGCTGAATATGGTAGCTTATATAATGTGCTTTTATATTCCAGAGAGGCCCTGCATGAAAGTGAATTCTGTAAATAATTCCCAAAAGTTATTATAGTGATAGGTGTTTCTGCAGCAAAATGAGAAATCTCTACCTTCCATATAATCAAAACAAGTCTGTTTTTTTAATTAAGAATTTTCAAAACACCAAGCATGAGAACTTTGCTGGTACTGATTGGGGGATTTTGAACTTAAAGGCAATATAAACAAATTTTTAGTGTGAAGTGTAAAAATTGTATCACCTTTGTATTGATTTTGTTTTCCTTCTCATTTTTGGGACAAAAGATATATACACTCACTATGTCCACACACATACTTGTGTGTTTGTTTAAATAGGAAGAGATAGGGGTATTTTCAGTTCTTGTAAGCAGCCTTTGAATAGTCTGTAGAAATATGGTTGGAATAGGTACAGCTATGGAATGATTGTTTTAGACATCAAGACTAATAATTTTAGCAGTGTTTAGGAACACTGGAGAAAAGCCTTGAACTATGTGAGCACCAGGGACAGACAAGCATGAAAGATTAATGTAATTTTGCATATAATGATGCACATTCTTACACAAAAAATCCATCTGCAAGTGTCATGTCAGTCAGCAAAAGTCTTTGATGGGTGGCTGCAGCTGGGCTGTCTCTTCTGGCAAAGCTGCCCTAGAAAATGCTAAATGTAGTTATGATGCTCCGTGCCATCTGTAGTATGCCAGTTTATCCTGTCTTCACTGGCATTTACAGTACTATATGGGGTATCAGCAAACACAGAGACATCAATGTGGAGTGACAGATTCATTTCCTCCAGAGGCTATGAACTCTGGTGTATACTTGTGCCACCTTCCTCTGTGTGTTATATGCTGTTGTCACTGGTATTTGGCTTGATTTCATACTTCTGTGTTTAACTCCTCTTATTTTTGATTTAGCAATTTGCATATCCTAACACAAAGACAATTAACTTTGATTGATCCTCAAGTAATTCTATCTTAACTGAGGATATGCTTATTTTCCTTAAGTTTACCAACTGTGTCAGTGCTAGAACTTGCATTTTGATGTGACAAACATCTTGAATTATCCAAATTTAAATGCATGAAATAGCCATGTATCTGATAGCAGCTGTAATTTAGTGTTTGGCCTTTTAGCTAGCATAACTATAAAATATAAGTTCTATACTTTTAATGCGTTAATGACTTAAAAAATAATCTGAATTGAATTACTCCGTGTTCATTATGTTGGATGGACAAAATAATTTAAAATTACCTAATCTGCTGCTAATTGATGTTTTCCACAGTAACTGAATATGAAGGACATGCTCTCTCAGTACTTAAAGAATGTGAACTGCAGGCATTTGATGGGTAAGTTGGTTAGTGACTATGAAGGTTAGTAAACCTCATCATGTTGTTTTTTATTTGTATTCCAATAAGATTATGTCAGTGGGTATTTAATGAGTTACACTGTTTCTCATATATATGAAACCTGGGAAATTCAGTTCTTATTAAATACTTTGGTATTTATTAATTACTGACAATAAAAATGCATCTTGGATTCATAAATAATGGCAAATAAACATAAAACTCTCTGAAATATGCTTCATGTAGGTTTCAGTCTCTGTATTTGTAAGAATACAAAGATAAAGAAGAAAAAACCATGGATTTTATTTTCCACAAATATCTTCTACACTGAGTCATTTTTGAATTGTTTCATCTTTGATCTTTGGGTAAACACTGAGAACTTCCCCTGTAAGGCTTTCTCCAGTATCCAGATCTAAGCTGGAAGAAAGGAACCCTTTTGAAAGATCATAGGCATACGTACCTCTACCTTTTTTACTATTAATTTTTTTTAGATTTCTACAAAAATGTAGAAATGACAACATGGTTTTTTAATTCACTGCAGTATGTAAACAATATAGCAATGCAGTTTCTGAGCTTGATTTTCTCACTAGGAGAGTTATGGTTCCTTCCATGTTAACAGCACATGAAGTAAACTGAAATTTATGATTTGCAGTAGAAAACTGGCAGTTTATATCTCAGTGCTTTCTGAAAGTGACACTCCTATGTGTTAATTCTTTGTCAAAGCTGTTTGTTTGTATTTATGATTTCTCTGATTTCCCCAGTCACTATTCTATTTTTAAAGACCACAGGCAGATGTCTTATACACTCCACATTTTTTTTGCTATCCACTTTTTTTGGGGACACTGAAAATTGAGGCACTTCATTAATTTGGCTTTTTACCCCTGACTTGTGGCTGAGCTTTGGTGACAAATAGAGGGACTGCATTTGTGATGCTGCTGTCTCAGCTGGGTTTTCCTATCTGCACAGAGACAGAAACAGACAATGCCCATCCATACATTTCTTCCCTAGGCAGGAGCCTAAAGGATATTTAGAGTAGCCTGGGTTACTCAGTCCTTAGTGAATAGTTGATTAAGAAAGTTGCATCTGATGGTTAAATAGATGTTTCTTTTTCTTAGAAAGATGTTTCTTTCTCTCTTTCTTCTTCAAGGTCTGAGTAAAATTTGTTTGCTCAAGACTTTCTACTCCTTATGCATATCAGGCTCTCACTGATTAGCATTGGAATCCCAGGTGCCTGCTGGTATCTCTATTTCCAGCCAAAAAGGCAACTCTTGATGATTAATGCTAAAAGAGTAAAAAACAAAATTAGCAGCATTTTCATGTTATTCCTTGGACTCTCTCTACACAGCACTCCAAAATCAGAGGAAAAGATATCTGTTTTCAAAAGTTTTAATAGCTAGAAGACAATCCACACGAGTCCTTCTTGTATACAAGAAGGTATACAAATTTTCAGACTTCAAAGATTAACTGGTTTTGCTATTGTGACAGAGAATTTTAAGCCTGGGAATAAATAAAAAATGAGTCAAAAGAAAGGTAAAGAATCCTGATTGCGAGCAGGAAGAAAATGTGCTTCAAACTTTTATATTCTATTCTTCAAGCTATATATTGTAATTTTTAAAATTTAATGTGGCAGTGTTTAGCTAGATAGAGGAAATGTTCCTAAAAATTAGAGATTAAAAATCACCTTGGAAATATTAATATAAACTAAAGAAAAATGTTAAAGGTGATGAGGTAGTTAAATTTAAATATTTGATAACACTAATAACATAATGAGTGTTTTCTTATAAAGATCTGACCAGTTTACCTGGTTGAATGATTGGGCATAGTTTCACAACTGCATTCATACAGATATTTGAAAAGAATATAGTTTAGGTGAATTGCTCCCAGAGTAACTCTGATGTTTCTGTCATAAATGCTTGGAATGTATTATTACTATTCTTATCATTAAAATATGTTTACTAATTTGGAGAATCACTGTAATATGTACTTAAATAAACAAAAACAAGGAAAAAAAAGGTTTGCTGTAACAGAGCTTTTAGAGACAAATGAATTCCTCTCTATAGCCACAGCAGGTGGGAGTTTAATTACGTGCTCCAGAAGCAGTGATTAAGTACCTTTGTGCAAAGGATTGCTGGCACTAGGATTTTATACTTTGCTAAATCCCTCAACTGCCTGCATAGTGTAGGAAAATAGCTGTTTTCAAGTGTTTTTTTATTTTATTGCAATATTTGGTGAGTTGTTATTGTAAGGGCAATTAAAAGGCATTGGAATGTTTGTATGGGTCAGCATTGAAAGATGTAAAGAGCTTTTCCACTGAGGCACTGAAACATGTGTTTGGTTCTTCCATCTGATCAGTTTGTGTGCATGATGTGTGGTAAGGTAAGAAAAACTTTGTCAGTTTTTAAGTATATTTACTCCTACTCAGACAGAAAGCAGAAATAAGAATGCTTAAGGAGCATTCAGGTAATGATCTGACAGTGAAGCCCAAGCTTGTTGTTAAAGAATGTTTTTAGCTTTTTGAAATATCATTATGTACATCGTGTGGGTAGCTGCTTTCCACTTGTTTGTTCAGTTATGAAAGAGTTTGTTTTGAACTCTTTGGCATTTTTGTGTTGTAGGGTGGTTTGTGTTGGTGGAGATGGATCTGTCAGTGAAGTTGCTCACGGGCTACTGCTCAGAGCCCAGATAGATGCTGGGAAAGACACAGAATATGTGTCAAAGCCTGTCAGAGCACCAGTTCCTCTTGGAGTAATACCAGCAGGTGAGAATGAAAGGTACTGTTACATTTTGTTAGTCATCTGTTTTTAGTCCCTCTGGCATGTTTTACAGTTTTGGCTACTAAAGGCAGTTCTTGATGCTAAAGCTTCAGTTATGTAAGGGAGCTATTGAATAAACATCCTAAATTGGTGATTTATATTGATTACAAATGACTTGATTTTAAATTGTAATGATAATTTATAGTAATGGCACAGATGAGCTCTTTGCCTGAAGGAAGAAGCTGAGAAAGAACAAAAATAAAATAATTTTCAGCTGATCCATCCAAGATCAAGTTCCAGTCTTATTTCCTGACAGAAATGATATCAAATGAAAACTTTATTTTCTAGATTTTCCTGATTTGCATCTCTAGTTTTCTTGGCAGAATTCTCAGTTGGATTCATGGTTAGGGTCTATTTTAAAATGGTGTCCCAGAAATACATTGTGTGCATTATATTAAAAAAAAATATTGTGTGCAAAAAATTACTTTCTTCTTTACAGACATGAAAATCTGTCTCTCTTAAGAAGTCATCTTGCTCTTTTATTAACTTGTATCTGGTGGTGTGGTTTTGTTTGTGTTGGGGGGTTTGTGTGTCCCTTCTCCTCAGTGTTGGTATTGGCCCTCCTTGGAGTGTAGCTGTGCCCAGCAGGAAGGCTTTAGCAAGAGCTGCTGTGGTTTAAGCCCAGCCAGGAGCCCAGCCCCACACAGCTGTTTGATCACTGCCCACCTGTGGGACTGGGGGAGAATCAGAAGGGTAAAAGCTGAAAAACACTTGGGTTGAGATAAAGTTTAATGGGAAAAGGACCAGCAATGCAAAAGAAGGAATTAATTCCCTGCTTTCCATGTGTTTAGCCATCTCCAGGAAAGCAGGGCCCCCATCACACGTAACAGTGGCTTGGGAAGACAAATGCCATCACTTCCAATGTCCCACCCTTCCCCCCTTTTATTACTGAGCATGGTGTCATATGTCTGGAATATCCCTTTGGTCAGCTGGGCTCACCTGTCCTGGCTGTGTCTCCTCTCACCTTCCCAGGCACCCCCAACTTCCTTACCAGCATGGCAGTGCAAAAAGAAGAAATAGCTTTGTCTCTGTGTAAGCTCTGCTCAGCAATAACAAAAACATCTCTGTATTATCAATCTTGTGTTCAGCACAAATCCAAAACACAGCCCCTAGCAGCCATTGGGAAGAAAATTAACTACCCTAGCCAAAACCAGCACAAATCAGTACAGTCAGGGTTGATTCTGGACTACCAAATGAGTCACTTCTCTTGAAAAGAAGAGAGGCATTTTTGCATGAACACTACTCTCTGGTGTGAATGTGTGCTAAGACTACTTAGTTCCTCAGATGTTTTTAACTGGTAAGGAAAACATTCCTACAGCCAGTAAAACAGCAAATCGCTGTTTTGAGTTTTCTACAAAAAAAGGAGCATGACACTTTGAACTGAGCCAGCAGATTTGTAAATGCTTTGTTTTGGTTTGCACATATAAAAGGAGCATTAGTTGCTTCTTAAGGAGCAAGATTACATTAGCTTTATCTCAGGTTAAAAAGCCCTTGATAAAAGAGACAACAATGTCAAAGACTTGAAGGTAATGAATTTGAGTACAGAAGTTGGGCCATCACTTACCAGCTCAGTTCCTGTGAATATCTCGATGGTGTTGAGACAGAATCTTTGCAGCCCCTGACTCCATGTTGTGTGTGGGTCACTGTGCCTCTCACTGGTGCCTTCTATCCTCAGTTTAAGACCAATATGTTGTAATCAGAAAGGACTTTTAAACCCAAAAGAATTCCATAGGGTTTCTTACACAGAATGGCATAGATTTTGTGAAAGAGGATCAGAACAGTTTATAAAATGATATTGTGAGAAATTCCTAATAGGTTCTTAAAAACAATCTGTTGTTTGTTTGATTTCCATATGCCTGATATTCCATGAGGTGCTCAGTTAGGAAACAGGTAAGTATGATACTTGTTCTCATGAGGATGCAGCTCTGGTCAGTTAATTTTTTTCCCCATCAGAAATCCATTGTACAACATTATTAGGATTTTCCAGCCAAGTAGGATCAACAACTGAATTACAGGATAGTATTATGTGGGTGGTGTAAAATCTGGTTTTAGTCTCTATAATAAGTACCTAAGACAGCATTTTGAACTTTCAGTCTTCTTGATGGGAAGAAGATGCTTTTGAAACAATTTACCTCCTGAAGAGAGAGGTCCAGAGGGGAGTATGTTTTTACTGAAATACTCTACTGAGCTGCCTTATTGTGGTCCAAATCAAATGGATGAGATGTGGGGAAGCCTGCAGTTGTACTGCTGGCCATTAGCAAGAGTGTTTGTTGCTATGGGAACTACTGCTAAGAAACTGTATGGAGGGGGAAACAGAGAAAGGGGAGGGGGAACTGTGGAAGGACATTAAAAAAGCTATCCAGTTGTTACAGAATAAGAGACGATCTATATCTGATGCCTGTGAACCTTTTGATCCAAAGGGGTCCCTATAAATAAATTCGTGATTCCAAATTAATTCAGAAAATAAAATATTACTGAGGGATTTTTAATTTCTGTGATATTTCAGGCAAAGAACCAAAATATTGGTGCAGTTTTCATCAGAATTTTAGCTATGCTTGACTAGGAAGTCATTACATCACATTTATCTGTTTGGATGGGGGAGACATTAACAGCCTTATGAATATTCATGTTGTCTGGTTAATTAAGTTAATTGTACTGCAGAAGTGCTTGCACTTCCAAGGACAATTTTTTTCCTCTACAATTTCTGTTTGGTACCTTCATCAGTCATGACCTGCAGATACTCTGTTCTTACTGAGATGCTTTTGCACTTTTGGTGGGAAGGAGGTGGAAGGAAGTTGTTTGTAATGTCAGGAAAATCGGTTGATATTTTGAACAGGATTTCATTTTGGAGTAATAAAATCTTTGTTTCTGTAAAAAAATGCTAATGATAGAGATGCTGGAATTGTATGGATAAAACCTTTTCACATTAAATTGAGTAGCTGAAGTGAGAACTAAAAATGTGACTTACTAATGTGTGAGCAGTGCAAGTCATGGACATCAAAGGCTTTTAGTTCTGAAGTAATATGATAGCGTTCACGGGAACAGTTGTTATTGGTAAATAATATCTTGAGCTTGCATAGGGGAAAAGAGATTACTTGGGAGTATGAATAATGACATTAAAACCATTATCGAATCACCATTTAAATAAGAAAGGCTCGGTTCCTTATTTTTGTATATTTTTCTACCTTGTTTATAGGCTGCATGTTTTGGGTTTGCTTGTTTGTTTTGGTTTGGATTATTTTGTCTGGCATCCTGCTTGTATGGGACTTAGTTAATAAGGCACATTATTCAGTCATTATTGGGATTAAAACTGCTGGTAGGCATGTGCTAAGTGGAGTTTTTAGAGAATATGATGGTGCTTGCTCCCACAAAACTGTGCTTGGCCTAGTTCTTCAACTTGTGGAAGGGTGGATGTGGTGCTTTTGTTTTTGAGCACAGAACTTGTTTTATCTTCCTCAGAGTCCTGAAAGGGTGGGATTTTGCCTTGTTTACTTCTGCAAATGTTAATGAGCTCCAAAGATTTAAGAGAAGGATGCAATTACTTGTGCCTATCCTGTTTAGTAGGAATGAGATTTAGGTCTCATTAAAGTCAGTTTGAAGATTGGTACCGACTTCAGCTGTGGTTGTTTGGTATCTTGCTGCCATCTGCATTGATAAATTACTCTTAAATCACGTTTGCAGCTTAAACTCATACCAAGCTTGATCTTCCAAACTATATTCCACCTTGTGCTCTTTAATTAGCTTGATCTTCAGTGAGAAGTGAAACATTTTTTTAGAATAACAACTGCCCTGTCTTGACACGCAGGAAGTAAGCATGATGTGCCTGACTTGTAACAATCTGCTGCTTGTATGTGTGATTTCCTTTGTTTTGGAGACATACTCATAACAGTTGATAAGAGCTGTATAATGCTGATTGAAGGAAATATTTGAGTATTCTTAATTACATCTCTAGCTACCTTCACTGGCAAAGCAGAACTAGTTGGATCTGGAAGTTAAATCAAACATGAAGTCATTCAAACATGAAATATGTTGGGCATATACTTGTAGTATTCTGGGAAGAATTGCTTTTTAGGTCAAATGTAGGGGTTTTTTTAGGTTTTGGGTACTTGTTACCTTAAAAGATGTACCTCACTTCCTTCATATAGCAGGAACACAGAGCTCCTCTCTTTGATGTTATGACAGCTTTCCATGAAGTTCTGAATTACTTTCAGAGGCTAAGGTGCACTAAGGATGTAACAGGTGATCTGTGAGATTCCCAGTTATACTAAATTTTTTTATTTAGAGAAATTATTGGAAAAAAATCAAAGATATATTCCTGAATAAGAATGGCATGATGCCTTTAGAGCTTTGCAATGATGTACATCAGTCTTGGCAAATTCAGGATTTTTTTCTACACTCTACATGACAAAAAACCAGAATTTGAGGATAAGCAAAATTTTTCAATCTGGTACATTATGCTTCAAAGTGCTTATTTAAATATTGAGTGCCTGTTCCTTGACATGTGGTACTCTTTTCCTTTCTTCCCTTCTTTCCCCTACTTAAGAAATACAAGTAATTCTTCCATAAAACTTAGGGCAAATTTAACATCCAGAATTGTCTATTTCTCCTATAGATTATTATCAAATAATTTTCTTGTTTCAATTATTTATAATTGAAAATCTATCTGAAATGTTAGGTTCTAAACTGTTTGTAGGTAATTTTTGTTTCTTTTAATTAAACTTTTATTGAATTATTCATCCCTTAATTAGTGATATGAAGAAGTCAATATTCTGCCTGTTTGGTGGCAGGCCTTTATTTTTCCAGACGTGAATTCTTTTGCTGCTTGGCTAAGTAATGCCAGAAATGTGAAAAATAAATTTGAAATTTTTTAAAAACTACTCCTATTTAGGAAAGACACAACTGCTCCTTCTTCATGATTTTAAAAATAAATTTATATTCAAAAGTCAGCTGATGCACAGTATTTTATGTCCTAGGCATTAAAGCAGAAGAGCAAAATTTACATCTATATCTCCATGTTTCTTACCCAGGCAAAGTGCCTTGAGATATTAATCACAACCAGTCATGGGCCTTCAGAGCTCTGCTTCTTTCTTTTGCAAACTGACAGCTGATTTTCCACTCTCTTTTTCAACTCTGTGCTGACATTGCCGGGTTTTGACTTTTTCTTCTATTTACCACCTGATTTATTCACTCCCTTGTATCAAAATCTGTTCTTCTCTTCTCTCTGGTAGCTGGTAGAACGACTGGCTGCCAGCATGCAGGCAGTGACAGATAAAAGTGAGATGGATCAGTCTGGGTGCACTGAGTGCAAGTCCCCTCTTTGTCAGATGTCACATTCTGCCTGCCCTGTTTTTCAGTCATTGAGTTCTTACTTGTGAAGCTGATGTGCAGTAATTAATTTTATTCACTATTCCAAGAGTCTAAAATGTAGCCTGCAAGAAGCACAGCAGCTATCTTTGACTAGATTAAATATCATTTGGCTTGAAAAATGTACAGTTTTACACTGTCTGGTATTATTTTACCAACCTAAAAGTATTCCCCAAATACATTTTATTATAATCTGTCTCCAGTTCCTTAGTACAGCACTTGGGTATGTAAGAGATGATGATTAAGAAGATGATTTAAAAAAATCCAAGCAGGCAATATTTTGTAAAGCTTGTTTCTCCCACTGCTTTGTTTTTATGGCACTTATGAATGAATTTGCCAAGAAGATTTTATGGACCTTCGGAAGTTTTAAAGGTTTTAATTTAATACTATTCAGCATTTCTGCTGTTAACAAGAGAATTTATGGGCAGGCTTTTTTTTTTTTAATATGCAGTAATTAAAAATGCTGTGTATGTTTGTTCTGGTTATTCTGTATCTCTCATGGTTTTTTACAGCTTTTTTTTTTTTTCCACTTTTACAGGTACTACAAATATTTTGGCCCATACTCTCTATGGTATTAAACATGCAGTGACTGCAGCACTGCACATTGTAATGGGTAAATATTTTTACATTTTACATTCACTTCCAGAATTTATAAATAATAAAGCAGTGTGTAGAAGTTTGTCATAACCAGTTGCTCGGTAAAGATAGCATTTTGCTGTGTCACTGTAACCTATATTGTAAGGCTTTTAAATCCAAATGATTCTATCCTGGTTTTAGCTCCAGGTGCATTTATTTTAATTACTAACAGTTTCTATAAGAAAGCTTTATTCATAGAAAAGCTGTATAATTTGCCACTGGGTCTGCACAATAAATGGGGTTTGAATGTGAAAATGTAATTATGCTAAAAGGGAAAAGTAGGTTGCTAGTGCAAACCTTATTTTTGGGTCTTAGAAACAGCAAATACTTTGTCATAAAATGTTAATTTTACTCTCAAAGCAGTCTTTATTTATAACTTATTTTAAATTAAAGAGAAAAAAGATTAAGGTCCCTCTTGAGTATCTCTTCTCTTGGTCTTGCAGTCTGCAGTGGAAGAGCCTTTGCTCTATTTCTCAAGTCATAATACAAAATGCTTTACAGGCAAAATATAAACCTGTCTTTCTTTAAAAATCAGAGACACTGAATGCAGGGTCTATTAAAGAAAAAGTTATATCCTATCTTGAACAGAATTATATGTTTATATTTTATAACTGTAAACATGAATACCTTTAAAACCTATGTTGAAGAGTTCCCATATATCCTCCAGTACAATGTGCAGTCATTACATATATTTGGTGAAACAGTTACAGAGATTTATGCAAATATTAGCAATATTACATTTTCCTTGATTCTACTTGAAATTGTGAAATTGATTGTTGAAAATGTGCATAGAATTAAGACCCTTTGCAGTCTTATGAAGTAGCTGAATGTTTTACCATAGCTTTAACATTTTCAAGCATCTGAAATTACTATTTTGATAGAGTCTTAATTTTATCTAGATTGATTCTGGTTTTGATTAGTAAAATTAATTTCCTGGAGACAGGGAGGAGTCTGAAGGGGTTTTTGCCCAGCTAAAGTAGATGAAAAAGAAATGGTAAGTTGTGTGTCATTTGAAATATAAATTTTTCTTTTCCCTTGTCTATCTGTGGAACTTTAGGACACATCCAAGCAGTAGATGTGTGTACCTTCAGCACTGGGAGGAGGCTGCTGCGCTTTGGGTTCTCGGCCATGTTTGGGTTTGGGGCGAGGACGCTGGCTTTGGCAGAGAGGCACCGCTGGATGCCCTCCAGCCAAAGGAAGGATTTTGCTTTCATCAAAACCCTGGCAGATCTCAGGTATGCCAAGAGATGTTATTATTTTCTTGAGGAAAGGGAAATAATAAATCTCATAAAGACAGAGAGAGCGGTAGTTTATCTTAGTTGCAGACAGATTAACTCAGATGTGATGTATATCCCTCTTACAAATTAAAGAGGAGATAAATTGTGTACACTCAGAATCTCCTAAAAAATCACCTTAACTTTGATAAAAGTGTGTCTAACAGTCAGAATACTGGTTTATATCACAGTAAATGTCATTACTTTTCTAGGCCAGAGGAATGTGAATTATCATTTCTCCCTCTACAAATTCCACAGGAAGACACTGATGAGAAGGACAGGTAAGTAGAACTGACTCAAGCAATTCCAAAGCTACAGAAATGTGTCTTTGAAGAATAAAATTGTACAGAATCTTTACTTTGTTCAAATTTAATCAACAGGTGATATAATATTAAAAAATATTTATTTTCACAACTGCAAACTTGTACATATTGTAAAGTGTTTCCTGTAGACTGTTATAGAGGATCTTGTTACAAGGCAGTCTTCCACTCAGTATTACTGATTTTTTCAGTTCCACTAATATGTTACTTTTTAAATAAAGTATATGTTGCTTAAATGTGCTACTGACTTTAATTTTTTTTACCTACATGCTTCCACCCTTTTAGAAAGAGGAAAGAGAGAACGAAAAAAGGTGAGTTTCTGCTTTTAGGATTTTTTAAAAGTGAACCATGGCTGATTAACTGGAGTAATATAGAATTACTCTGTTATATTTAGGTAGCAAGGATCAATGGCAGAAAATTCAGGGTCACTTCCTGAATGTGAGCATTATGGCAATCCCTTGTCTGTGTTCAATGGCACCAAGAGGCTTGGCACCTAATACGAGGTCAGTATGGGTTTAGAGAATTAGTCATGTCTATAAATTCTGACATCTTACCTTAAGACCTTGGCTTTTCCGAGAATATGAGCCTATGTTTAGGTAGTCTAGTCCCTCTGGACTGGGGGAGGGAGCATAGACTGCAGCAGACTTGATAATCCCAGGAATTGTAATCAGTTTTTGGATCAGGCAAATAAGGTCAAGCAGTCTAACTAGAATTATGAGTGGATAATTGCTGTGATTAAATTAGTTGGCAAGTCTGACTTAAGTAGTAGTCATGGAGCAGTCATCTGTCATAGGATTTGGCTTTATGGGGAAACTTCACCCTTAGATTTAATTTTATTTTTTCAAATATAAAAGTGGCCCTTGTCTTCTGCTCTACAGCCAGCAAAAATATGAGTCTTTCTCATATTATTAAGGACTAAAGTTCACACTTGTCTTTTTCTTCTTATTATTTTCTGTTTGATTTTCCTCAGAACTTGAGAAATGAAGCTTCTACATGCAGAGTTTGGGGAAACAAAGGAGTATGTAACCTGGTTGTTGACACAGACTCATTTTGCCTTTAGCTCCTTGTTGAGAGCCTGCTTTGTGCTGACCAAAGCAGTTCTTAGGTGGTAAATATTTGTACCTGTTGTATCCAGTTGGCAATTGAGCACAATAGCAAGTACAGACTTTGTAGTTGTATGTACAAAATGCTCCCTCAAAAAAAGGATGCAGAGACTCATGTGAGAGTGCATGAATGTGTACCAAAAAACCCAAACACTCAGGGAAATTAATGGAATGAGTCTCTTTTCTTTCATTAGATTGTCACTAGCTGAAATTAGAGAAGAATTGATGAGGTATTTTTCTTCAAAATTACTGGCCTATTTGGTAGAATTTGACTTCTTGGAAACAGTGTAGAACCAAATAATTTATGATTAAACTCTCAATAAGAAGTTTTCTTTGCTCCCAGGGTCCTGCTACTCTCACAGTCCTCAAGATAGTGCTCTGATGCTGTCCCATCTTAGGAACTTTGTTCTGCATTTAGTGTTTTTATTTTCCAGTCACTTGGAAAATTCTGATGAGAATTTTAGCTTTGCTTTCTCTTTCTATCCGTTCTTCCCCATTTCTCAGTGACAGGGAATTTTGTGACATCTCCATGCAGTTATTGCAGGTTTGAATGAGCCAGTTTCTCTCCCAGTGTAGCTGCTTTGTGGATCTCCCTATTTTTTGGTGTGTGTAAGAATACCCTTTGTTCTTTCATCTCTTTTTAAAAATAATCTTGAAGTGTGGTCAACTAGTAGAGTAGGAAGGGTAGACTCAAACAGAGCTTCCTTTATCATAGTGAATAACATATTGACTGTAAATCTCTTCAATATGGGAAACAAAAACATGGCACTGATTGTTAGAGACTCCAGACCCACTATAGAAGGAACTCATGTAGGTTTCTTCTCCTTTTTCCCAAGAGGTTTCTGCCATGTGAAGACTTTTGAAGTGGGGTGCAAGCTTTGGCTGCTGCCTGTAACACCAGTTACACTGGTCTAAATTTGCAGAAATGTGTCCAGAAGATATATTTAACTGTCTGTGCTATGTGAGCCCTGTGGGATGTCTTTTTCACAGCATAGGTGTTGTGCTTCACTGCAGATGGGGCTTTTTAGAGAATTAATGAGAATTCTTAGTAATTTCTAAAGATGAAAGGCCTCAGTGCTGAATGCCCAGTAGTCTCTGTGCCCTTTTATTGAAACAAATATGATAAGGAGGCAACTTTTTAAATGTCATCATCACTCTTTCCTGAATCAGCAAAGTACTGCTGTGCCAGGTGACTTGCTTAATGTTTATGTAACAATTACCCTCCCAGATAGTGCTGTTACCATAGTCTGAGAACATTCCTGATGCAGCTGTTCAGGGGCTATCTGAACTATCCCTTTCAGGGCTAGTAGGCTGGAAGTCATTTTTTTAAACACACTTAAGATATTTTCCTAATAGATGCTGAATAAATAAATAAATAAATAAATAAATAAATAAATAAATGTGCAGAAGATAGGAAATACACCAGCTCTCTCCAGAAGGCAGTCTCAGCAGGGATTGCCATGTTCATCAAGTACTCTTGTTGAACACTGATCTGTCTCTATAACTCAAATGGGACTTAGGCATGGTTGCATGGATATTCCAGTTGTTAGTTTCTGTGCCCAGGTACATTCCATTGAGGAATGGGGGAACTGACACTGGCTCACAGTCTGACCCCAGTTCTCAAAGATGCTAAAATACCCATGGTGACTGAATACTGAGAGCCACTGAGCATCTGCACTGTGGGGGCTCTTTTTGTTTAATCTCTAGTACATGACTGTTTTAGCTCATACAAAACTCTTAGTCCTTGACTTCTATTTTGTTTTGTGAAATGTATAAATAGAACTGTACCAAGAGCTGCTATGAGAGTGTGAGTTGGAGATGGCAGCCTTTGTTAGGGCAGCATGGGTGTTGGTGGAGGGGGTGGGGGAACCCACCTGCACTGGGTCTGTGCTGGGGGCTCCCATGCACCATGGCACTGTTTTCTGGGTGCAGCTCTGCCTCACAGCACTTGCGGTAGCTGTTACTTGGTGCGGGAGAGAAAAGTAAAAAGAGAAGTTTGTGATCCCTAATGTTTAAAAACCATCTGTTAAGTAGAAAAGCAAGCTTTTCTTAGATTATATGTATTGTATTCAAGAAATTATGGCTATTGATAAAGAACTACAAGTTGTTATTACAATGTATGCTATAAATACATTGATGCTGAATAACTTCAGTGCATAATTTATATTGATCTGTGGGGTGGGAGTCAGCAAAAAGACTTGAAAAACCATTCAGACTATCCTATTAATTTACTCTTGTAGGCTTTTAAAAAATTTTCTTTCTAATCTAGGCTATTGAAGAGTCTGCTATACTTCCAAATTAATGATGAAAGATAATGATCTTTTTGGTCTGCTTTTCAGGCTGAACAATGGAAGTATGGCTCTTATTGTGGTACAAAATACTTCTCGAACAGAGTTTATAAAGCATCTGAAAAGATACACCACTGCAAAAAATCAGGTACTGTTAATTTTTTTCTGGTGATTATAAAAAGAACAGTTAATCGTGAAAGTAGACAAGCTGCAAGAGTTAATGTTAGCATCCTCGTAAGGAGACTTAGCTTCCTGTCAGAATACATTAGCCCCTTTTTAGCTGATTTTTTTTCTTTTTTTAAATCACTAGACTAATACAGATTAGCCTATTTCAGTCCATCTGTTGTGGTTTAAATTGTGTTTGTGTTGTACCATAGTTTTATGGGTGGAAAGCCCTTCCACTACAATAAGGAAATGCATGCTGTGTCTGAATTTTGTGTAGTACAGAGGGGCCATCCCGCAACTCTGTCAGAAACTGGTAAAGTTGGTAATTTCAGCAGGTCATGACATGCTCTGCTGGTAGCAGTGGTTAGTGAGCAATTATTTTAGCAGGTATGCATCCCATCTAGTTATATTTGCAAAACTGTATTTCAAAATTGTACTCATAATTCTGTCTTGGAAGAGAAAAATGAAGCATTCAAACATAGATCTTATTGCTGTCTAAAGCCCCACTGCATGGCCCAGGCACGCTGGTACTCATTCAAGTGTTCTGGGATTATGTGAAATCACTGTAACAGGAAGGTTTGGATTTGAATTCATCTACAGCCAAGGAGTTTGGGGGAGAGATGGGTGACAATTCCAGGTGACAGCACTAATGGCTGAATTGAAATAGCTTAAGCTTTCCAGGTATGCTTTTGGAGGAATGCCTTGCTTTTCTCTCTGCCTTTGTAGTTACAAATCAGACAAGGAGATGTGGGCACTCCTTTAAGCTTAAGACAATCATTTACTAGAACTCTAACTAGCCTGGTTTAGGACAAGATGACTGGTGATGATGAACAGAGCACAGGAAACAATCTGCTTGGACTTTCACATATTCTGAAAGTATTTGGTATGTGCAAAATATAACCCCTTACCTGCAGGTAGATCGAGTCCAATATAGGAATACAAATTGGACATGATTTTTTTTTTTCTGAGGCACTATTTAGGATATAAACACCACATTAATATATAAGCACTAGCTGGAATATATAATGGCTCATGTAGTCAAAGCTTGAGTTAAATTCTCCTACTTAGAACAAAAAATGTGCCAGCTTTTTGATTTCAAGTAACCCATTTTGTTTTAAGCTATCTTTCATTTTCATTTGCTGTCTATCTGTGTTTGGTTTAGTTCAATTTTCCCTTTGTTGAGACCTACACAGTTCAAGAAGTAAAAGTACAACCAAGGCTTAAAAGTGGCCCTGATGCCAAGGAAAATGTGTGTCTGAATGCAGAAGGAAACTACCCTTGGAATATAGATGGAGACTTAATGAAGGAAGCATCAGAGGTTCATGTCCGGTAAGGTTCAGTGTCCCATTTAGGGACCATGTACCCATAACAGATTAGTGCTGCCATCTCAGATGTGTCACATCTCTGTAGAGCACAGATGGTCCCACAGTCAGGTGTTCTAAATGCTCCTACATAGAACTGCTTGCACTGCAGGGTCTGGCACTTCCACCATCGTTTGGGCCTCTGCCTTGGCTGCCTTGTGTTCATCTTTGGAAAGGTTTGTTGTAACTCACATGGCCTTTCCTTCCTGGTGCTTCATCAGCTTCCACTCCAGTTCTCTTCTTTCTTGTTACTTTACTACTTCTTGTTTCTTCTTTCCTGCTACTTTACCCTTCCATTTCTTGGAGAACAGATGTACATAATGTGTCTCCATGAGGAGCTCCTTTTGGGACAAGGATTCCTACTTGGAAAGCAGCATGTGTAAGGTTAAGAAAAACATGTAGTTCTTCGATTGTGGAAAACTTAATGCTGCTTGAGAATAGTCTCCATATTCAGCTCTAAGAATGAGACTACAAATACATAGCAAATGGGAGGATTATCAGTGGAATTAAGGGGGCAGCAGCTCATTTTTCTGCAATGCACACAGGATTAGTTGAAGGCACACAGCTCAGAGTAAGTCTGGTATGTAAAATAAAAGGCAGATCATGTTGTAGGGAAGATAATATATTCTTCTAAAGATGAACCTATAGGAATTGTCAAAATGTAATTCACCCTGATTTATTTCCATATAAAAGCTTGTACATATTCATTCTCTTTGCCAACCTCAAAAGCAGCACACCCATTGCAAGAGTTGATGACACTTGATTGATAAAGTTTGACTTCCTTGCTTCCCAGGGTGCATCCTCAACTTATTGATCTCTATGGAGTGAATACTGATGACCTGGAGAGTTCCCAAGTGACGTGCAACTGCATATAGAAGGGACACACTGGAAATTCTGTAATAAAGAATTCTGTTCTCACCCCTGTGCACAGCTTTCCAAGGTCTGGACTTGTACTGATGTCAGTTGTAGCAGAAGTTGAATTGCTAAGGGTTAGTGTTTGTTCTAATTCTAGGTTTAAATTGTTGTTAAATGATATATTTTAGCAGGTTCTATTTAACTGTACTGAAGATGTTAGGCTTTAAAAAGAAAAAGTGAAAATTGATTGTATTGGTCTCTTACAATTTTGGGGTTTGAGAAGCATCCATCAGAATAGATGAAAATTTTTTTTTATTAGTCTAGATTGTTTTAGACTGAGATACTTCTAAGTCTGCTGCTGCTATTTATGTTATCAGGTAACTCAGTTCAGCACAGGGAAGAACCATACCTCTACTCACCAGCTCTAACTGAAGAATAGTGGCAAAATAAAAATATATGCATTTATTTTCTTAATCAACTGCTTCTATTTCTAGTTATGATTTTTTCATGTTGCCTTAATATATTTTCTCTCAAAATGTTTCTAATCAAGTAATATAAAAGAATATGTTGATGTCCATATGGGTTTTTTTTGTTAAAATGTATTTTAAAAACTGCTCTTTGTATAAAATTAGTATTTTCTCTGTTTAGAATTGAAATATTATTCAGCATTGCTGTTACTGAGACTAAAGTTGTGATAAATTACTTAAGAGTTGACTTAAATTTTTATAATTTCCTTGTAGGGCATAAACATATTTTTTGAGTGTTTGTGGTTTTGGTAATTTACTTAACATTGAAGGCAATTATTTCAGAGGACAGCAAATGAAGACTATATTTTTTCTGGGAACTGGCTTCCTTTGAGATGAAAAGCAGCAGCCGTGTTTTGGCACTTGCAGGACCATGGGTAACGAATGTTTTCCTGGCCACTCCTCTGGGAGCCGTTCAGAAGGCAGCGCACAAACGAAAGCTGCATTGGGTCAGGGCAAGAGTGAGCTGATTTAGGTGCTTTCTTCAGGAAGCAGTTTGGCATAATGTGGAATCCAGTCTTTGTATGAAGTTGCTAAATCAAGGGTTTAAGCCTTTGCAAGAGATATGTAGCTACTATGATTTTAAATAGTTGTAAAAATTCTTATCTATGATAAATACACAGGACTGAGCACTGCAGATGAGGATTTGGCTCCTAAACCCAAGCTGTTGCCTGTTGTCCAAGTTACAGGGAGCAGTCTCCACTTAAAATTCATACTCTATCCCATCAAATATTTTTAACATGCTAAGGCAATGCAGACTAAGCTTCTTTAAGTTGTTTAAAAAGGCATTCCAGCAACACTTAGTAGATTTAACTTATTTATTAAATGAAATTTAACAAAAGAATTGAATTTGCAGAATCAACAGCATTCATCTGTTTAACTTGTTTGAGGTTTTTTTAATAAAATGCAGTTGAGTAATACTTTATAATCTTGCCACCATCAGGACATTGTACATTCATTTTTTGTCAACCTGGTTTATAAAAGCTTCATAACTTTGCTTCATATCCTAAGAAAAAGCAGCCAACATATACATGTTAACAATCAAACCTGAATAGAAAGTGTACAATTTCCAAGGCATCATTATCACATGTACTGACTTATGTAAACTATTTCAAAGATAAATAAAATGCTTTTGTTTCACTTCCTTGCATTGTTTGTACTCAAAAGAACATGAATGCTTCTTCCAGTATTTGAGGTATATTTTTCACAGTATGCTGTAATGTCAAGCTAATTTCTGTTCAAAGGTTTTTTGGTTAAAGTGCAAAAAATCACTAAAGCCATTTGGAAGGTAAGCATTTTTTTGCTAGTTTTCACACATATTTGCAAGAAAGTATTTAATTCTTGACATATTTTATTTTGCCTTTTAAAAAAAATATATGCACATTCATTTGTCCTTGCACTGTAGATATTAGAGGAAAACATACTTTGGAGTGATCCACATCTTTGGCATCAAATGAAGTGAAAGGAAGATACAAAATGGTCCCAAATACCTTTGGAATCTCTGGGCAACATGGTTTTTATGGCACCAAGCACTCTAGTAGCAGAAGTGCTTGCTGAAGGCACTTGCAGTGGGTTTGAGTTTCAGGCTGGTTCCCACAGGATGGATGGTGCAGCTCTGAAGCATTTGTGCAGGTGACATTCCATTCTGGGTGCAGTTCACAAAGACATCCAAGGCCCGGGCCTCACTCCGTCCTTCCAATCAATTCTGTCACTGAAGAAGCTGAACGTTCTCCAGCTGCTCCGGGGAGCAAAGGAAGGTTTGTTTCCCTTGTGGCTTGTGCTGTTTCACCAAAGCTAGGTGGCAGTGCAAACTTAGCTAGCTGAAGAAACTTCCTGGAGTACAGAGCAGTGGTTTGATCCATGTTTCTGGTGAGTCCTTTGCCTTTCTGCCGAGTGGCTGCTGAGGGTGCCTGTTTGGATGGTATTTATCTGACACCTTCCAAGAACCCAAGCTGCCTCTCCAAGTGACTTCCTCATTAAGTACTTTCTAAAGTACTTAATCTAAAGATAAAATTTGGCCCATTATGGTTGGCAGTTGGTGTTTTTTGGGTATATGTGTCTCTCTGTTTTGTCAGCTGAAGTCTGTCTTTTTTTTCACGTTCTGGAAGAATGCCAGCACTAAATCCTGTAATAAGTACTATAGAAAAATCTTCAAATAAATAAAAATAAATACTTGCTTTAAAAAAAAACCCACATAGAAATAATTCATTGGAGAAGTCCAATACCTTATGGCAGCACTGTCTGAGGAAAGGATGAAACAAGGAATTCTATCATGCTTGCAAGTACCATGTTATGGATGGCTACAAATTATAATCTCCAATACTTTAATCTTTCTACAGCTGCATCTCCAGGCTACCCCACACAATTCCCTGCTCTGAATTCACCTTTGGCCTTCCTGGTTCTGGATTGCCTGGGTGTAAGTACCTTCAGTGATGTGGCTGTGCCTGTGAAGCCAAAGCTTACCAGGTTACCTGCAGAAGCCCAGAGCTTCTGAGAGCCGTTTTTTATGTCTGTGTCCTACTTACAGTCCTATGGGTTTGAGCTAATTTACCCTTGGTAAAATGCCAGACAGAGATGAGAGAGGATTTCTTCTTGAATGCCTGATCAAAATATTATTGAAACTTTAAAAATGATAGAATAACTCATGCTAATGCGTTTGAGATCTTACTTTCCAGGATTGGCCAAAATTATTACTTTCTACAAATACTTCCTTTTGGTAAGTAATTCCTGTCTTTATCTTTAGTGTTCTTCTGTCTGTTTGAAACCAGATATATATATACACCTATATATATGGCATTTCAAATATTACTGGGAGACTTCAGAACAAACTGGTTTACCATTTTCATATTAGAACAGTACTGTAAGGTGTATCCTCCATACAGTTCAAGGAAATAAAGCATGTTTTCTAAGAGCAAGTAAGTTCAAGGCTTAGGTTTCTTGTTGCTGATGTTTCTCCTGTGAATTAATCTGAATTTTAATTTCTTCATTTTAAAACCAAATGTTTATTTGCCATCTTAGTCATTTTTGTTCCCACTTTTAAAACTCCAGCTCTCTCTTCTGTTCACGTCTTGAGGGATCGAGTTGTATTTCCTTTTGAAGAAGCCAATCTGAAATAAATAATTTGGAATCTGTTGTCAGCAAATCTTTGTCATCAAATCTAAACCATAAAAGATTATTTAAAATAAAAATGCCTATGTATGGCATTTATGAAGTATGGTATTTGCATGTGCTTTGTCATACCAAGTAATCAAGTGTTACTCATCAATCAAAAAAGCAGGTTTGCTTTTCCTTCTTTTAATTTTTGGGAGGTGAATGCTCTCCTGTATGGAGTAAAGACTTGGGCTTGTGAACTTTAACAGTTCATGGAATCCAGTATTTTTAAAAATATGGTAATAAAACGTTAAATTTGTTTCATTTCTACATGTCCACATAAAAATGATGGATAAAGAAAGTCTCCACGTAGGTAAAGAAGTTAACAATCTCTTAATCACTTGTCAGGGGATCTGTGTCCTTATTCGTTTTCTCTTTTACTTAGGCACAGGATTTTTTTAGTATTTATGTTGCAGTTTGAGATACCATATAAAACATTGTAAAGGGATTTGTAGTGTTGAGCAACAGAAAATGTAGAACATGCAGAAGATGAAATGAAATGAAAAAATAGAGAAATACTTTCGGAGAACCCCAAGATACAGGAGGAATTATCTTTCTTTAGAAAGGACAAATCATAATAACATGTTATTTATTCTTTAACCCAGATCCAAAAGTCCTTCAACAATATGAATTCCTGACTGGAAGCAACTAAGGAATACTAAAAACTTACCTTCCATAATATAAATGAAAGAACCAATAACAAGGTAACACCAACTATTAAGCTGAGGGAAATAATTAGCACAGTAACACGGTATTTTGGCTTTTGGTGGTGCACTCCTTCCAAATAGACCTGAAAAACAGAAAATAACCTTAGTGCTAACTGTTGGGGGTTTTTCCCTAATAGATACTAAAAACACTAGGAAAATTAATTAATTTTAAAAGTAATTAACATTATATTCATTGCTAGTGTATAGGTATGTATAGAATTCTACAATATTAATTGCTATTAGTTTTTCTACTTTAACATGTTCATCACAAATTCATAAGAGAATTCTTACATATGCAACTTGCTTGTCCTTATGTAGTTCAATAACTTTTGCACTTTTTTCTGGCCAGGCCATTGCTCTTACTTCAAACATCAGTACTGATGCATCATCCTGATTTAAAAAAAAAAAACAATTTATATTTTAAAAAATAATTTTAACACAGTGATTCCTGCCCAGCAAAAAATGATAGCACAGCTGCTGACATAACCAGAATCTCACACAAACACACAATGGTGCCTTTTTCTGAGCACAAAACAAATTAGTACCAGAAGCTGGAATGAAGCCAGGTTGGATTTTACTTAAGTCCACATCCACACTGCTTTTCTTAGAAAAATACAATTATGAGTTGAAGTTAAATCC